TCTCTTACAGGTATTTTATTTTTAACTTTTATAAGTCGTTAAAATGTATTATATCTTAGACATTTTGTTTATATTAATGTATTGTTATTTGAAATAAACTTGTACTTTGTTATAGTAAATGTAAATTGTATTTCTAAATAATAAATGTAATTCATTGTATTATCATTCTTTGGTATTTAAATAAATAAATAAATAAAGTATGCGTTTTTAATTTTGTTCTCAGCCTTATACAACAGTAGAGAATAAAATAGCATAAATGCTCTAAAAAGACTAATTGTGTCGTTTTGAAAATACCCAGAGCCATCGTGTGTTCAGGAGCTGAACAATTTGAAAGAAAGCTGAAGTTAATTCCGCGATTTATTTCTGAAAATGGAAAAAGATCCGATGCAACTTATGCTCTCCTAATACAAATGTTGAAATTGATGAAAAATTTCAGTTTTGAGCCAAATACAAGGGTTAGTCGAAAAGTAATGGAAAATTCAAGTCGTTTTTTGAAATTTGATGGTTCCAAAACTTTTTGACCATCCCTTGTATATGACGCAAAACTGAAAATTTTGTTAATCTGAAAATTTGTATTAGGAGAGCATAAGTCACGAAAGGTCATTTTCAGAGTTCCAATTTTTAGCGCGGGATCAACTATATATGGCAGTTTTGTTTTGTGTTATTCTACGTAGTTTGATCTTGAAACGTTGACCTACGCAATAGTACTATAAAATAATAAAAATCACCTGCATATGGCAGTTTTTTTCTGTTATTCCATGTAGTTTGACCATGAAACGTTGACCTACCCATTAGTACAACAAAATAATAGAAATTTATTGCTGGAATTACGTTTTTTTATGTAAGATTAGTTTTAAAATGTAACTTTTAGTGAAAATTTTTGCTTAATTTATTTATTATTTATTAAGATTATTCAATAAAAAAGCTGATAAAATCAAAATATATTTATTAGACCCATATATTTATTAATTACACTAATTACAACATATTTATTTCAAGTATAAGTTTAACACATAAC